GGTGATAAGAGGCTGTTCCTACCCTGGGAACGTAAACAATAGCTACTAAAAAAAAAAAAAAAAAAACAGGTGGTGAGGGTTCAGGCTTCTCAACATCATTGGTTCCTAATGATCACTGTTCTTCTTGACCTCACGGTCCTCACTATGAGGCGTGCTCATTCGCGGTGTTGGGGCAAGAGTTTCTGCTTTCCAAAAGTATCTGTGGCTGGGCGAGGTGGCTCACGCCTGTAATACCAGCACTTTGGGAGGCTGAGGTGGGTGGATCATTTGAGGCCAGGAATTCGAGACGAGCCTGGCCAACACGGTGAAACCCCGTCTCTACTAAAAATACAAAATATTAGCCGGGTGTGGTGGTGCATGTCTGTAATCCAGCTACTCAGGAGGCTGAGGCATGAGAATCACTTGAACCCGGGAGGCAGAGGTTGCAGTGAGCCAAGAACGGGCCACTGCACTCCAGCCTGGGTGACACAGTGAGACTCTGCCTCAAAAAAAATAAAAAAGGCAACTGAAACCTAGCTTTTAAAAGAGAAATCTGCATGTTTATGATTGTGACTAGGAAAAACTTTTTTTTTTTTTCTAGGCAGGGTGCTAAAAAAAACTTAAAGTTGTGCGGGAGGAGAGGAAGGAAGGAAGGTGGCAAGCAACACCTGTTTGCAATAGGGCCTGTGGCTGTCAATTTGCAAGCTCTGGTTAATTTCTCTCCCCTGGATGGGGGTTCAAGAGGGTGCGTGAATACCCTAAATTGTCTCTAAAACTGTATCTGTGCAGTTAACATTCTGGGACTAGTTTTACAGTGTCTTAGAAGTGCACTGAGGGCCAGGCGAGGTGGCTCACTGCTGTAATCCCAGCACTTTGGGAGGCTGAGGCAGGTGGATCACGAGGTCAGGAGATCGAGACCATCCTGGCTAATATGGTGAAACACCCTCTCTACTAAAAATACAAAAAAAACCAAAAATAGCCGGGCATGATGGTGGGCGCCTGTAGTCCCAGCTACTCGGGAGGCTGAGGCAGAATGGCTTGAACCCGGAAGGCGGAGCTTGTAGTGAGCCGAGATTGCGCCACTGCACTCTAGCCTGGGCGACAGAACGAGACTCCATCTCAAAAAAAAAAAAAAAAAAAAGAAGTGCACTGAGGAGCAGATGCGGTGGCTCATGCCTGTAATTCCAGCACTTTGGGAGGCCAAGGCAGGAGGATTGCTTGATCCCAGGAGTTCAAGACCAGCTTGGGCAACATAGTGAGACACTGCCCCCCTACCCCATCTCTACAAAAAATTAACCAGGTGTGGTGGCATGTGCCTGTGGTCCCAGCTACTCTGGAAGTTTAGCAGGAGATCGCCTGAGCCTGGGAGGTTGAGGCTACAGTGAGCTATGATTGAGCCACTGCACTCCAGCCTGGGTAACAGTGAGATCTGTAATCAAAGGAAAAAAAAAATTCACTAAGACCAGAAAAGGGGAGACCCAGGAAGTTTAAATTTAAGAATGTTTTCAGTTTTGGAGATAGGGTCTTGCTCTGTCACACAGGCTGCAGTGCAGTGGCATGATCACAGCTCATTGTAACCTGGATCTCCTGGGCTCAAGTGATCCTCCTACCTCAGCCTTCTGAGTAGCTGGGACTACAGGTGTGAACCACCACACCCACCCCAGGAACATTTTAGAATCGCTGTTTAAACCTTGGCTCTTGAGATCATGGCACTGCACTCTAGCTTGGGTGACACAGTTAAACTCTGTCTTTAAAACAAACAAACAAACAAACAAAAAACAAAAAAAACCTCTTGGCTCTGTCCAACTATGTATCTTATACAGGGGCATCAAATGTCTAGTGAAATCCGTATGCATAAAATACAGAGAGGTCATGCTGATACAGGGCTGCATCCAAGAGCAGCTCAGCCCATGAAGGGCTCATCAGCCGACCCCATCGTCAGCCCAGTGACCCCATCCTCAGCATACTTCACTGTGACTGTGGGAGCTATGTGGAGAAAGGCAGGAGAGAGCCTGAGAAGGTGGGAAATGGAAACACCTAGAGGCTGGTCTTAATTTCCAGCAGGGGAGCCAAGAACTAAGTATGTCATGAGTGGACGGGGCCCGGGTGCACTGCGCCCGGCCTAATTTTTGTGTTTTTAGCGGAGATGGGTTTTCACCATGTTGGCCAGGCTGGTCTCGAACTCCTGATCTCAGGTGATCCACCCACCCTGGCCTCTCAAAGTGCTGTGATTACAGGGAAGCATGTGGGGCAGCCTCAAGGGGTTTAGTGGAGGGGCATTTAAGAAAATGATGTCAACCAGCCGTGGTGGCTCACACCTGTAATCCCAGCACTTTGGGAGGCTGAGGTGGGATAATTGCTTGAGTCCGGGAGTTCAAGACCAGCCTGGGCAATATAGCAAGACAAAATCTCTACCAAAAAAAGAGAGAGAGAGAAAAAAAAAAGCACTTTCTTGGGTCTCATCCCAGACTTAGGCTGATGATCAGACTCTCCATGTGATTCTGATGCACACTAGGAAGTTTGAGAATCAAGGGTATAGAAAGCTGCTGAGCAACAGGACCCAGGAAACAAAGCTTGTTTCCTTCCCCTTCCAGTACTGTACTGTCACCACCCACCCGAAACCCTGTCTTAAGCAGACAGTGGATTTGACTTAAAGGAGACCGTCTAGAGCTGCTTGTGGTTAGTCTGAATTGAAATATGTTGGAAATGTGAAATACTAGATTTTCTTTTTTTCTGATTTTTTTTTTTTTTTTTGACACAGAGTCTCGCTGTTGTTGCCCAGGCTGGAGTATAATGGCATGATCTCGGCTCACTGCAACTTCCGCCTCCTGGGCTCAAGCAGTTCTCCTGCCTCAGCCTCCAGAGTAGCTGGGATTACCAGCGCCCGCCACCAGGCCCGGCTAATTTTTGTATTTTTAGTAGAGATGGGGTTTCACTATGTTGGCCAGGGTGGTCTCAAACTCCTGACCTCATGATCTGCCTGCCTCAGCCTCCCAAAGTGCTGGGATTACAGGTATGAGCCACTGCGCCCGGCTTTTTTTTTTCTTTAAGATGGAGTCTCGCTCTGTCGCCCAGGCTGGAGTGCAGTGGTGCGATCTCGGCTCACTGAAACCTCCACCTACCAGATTTAAGCGAGTCTCCTGGCTCAGCCTCTTGAGTAGCTGGGATCACAGGCGCCCACCACCATTTTGAATAGAAACCGGGTTTTGCCGTGTTGGCCAGGCTGGTCTTGAACTTGTAACCTCAAGTGACCCGCCTGTCTTGGCCTCCCAAAGTGCTGGGATTATAGGCATGAGCCACCATCTCACGCCAAGATTTCTAAGACAGTACAAAAAAGGAAAATACCTCAGTTTTTTTTACATGGATTATACATTGAAATAATATTTTGGGTATAACAGGTTAAATAAAATATCACGAAAATGAATCTAACCTCTTAATTTTTTTATGTGGTTACTAGAAAATTTGAAATTACATATGTGATTTGCGTTTGCAACTCACTTGATATTTCCATTGGACCCCACGAGGCTAAAGAATCTTAAAGGCCGGGCATGGTGGCTCACGCCTGTAATCCCAGCACTTTGAGAGGCCTAGGTGGGAGGATAGCTTGAAGCCAGGAGTTCAAGACCAGCCTGGTCAACATAGCGAGACCCCTTCTCTACAATAATAATAATAAAATAGGGGCATCGATGCTGCCTATACTCCCAGCTGCTTAGGAGGCTGAAGTGGGAGGATCACTTGAACCCAGGAGTTAGAGGTTCCAGGATCGCGCCACTGCACTCCAGCCTGGGTGACAGAGCAAGACCCTTCCCTTCCCGCAAAAAATCTTAGAGCCACAGGAAAACTCACAGGGCCTCCCTCAAAGCAGTATCAGGGAGCATCAGGATTTCCTTGATGTCATTCAGACCACAGCTGTGGACTAAAAACATCCTTGATGCAGTCAGAAATTGTCACCAGAAATACACATGGAAGAGCAATAGTGGCCGGGCACCGTGGCTCACGCCTGTAATCCCAACACTTTGGGAGGCCAAGGAGGGCGGACCACGAGGTCAGGAGATCGAGACCATCCTGGTTAACACGGTGAAACCCCATCTCTACTAAAAATACAAAAAAAAAAAAAAAAAAAAATCAGCCGGGCGTGGCGGCGTGCGCCTGTAGTCCGAGCTGCTGGGGAGGCTGAAGCAACAGAATGGCGTGAACCCGGGACCCGGGAGACGGAGCTTGCAGTGAGCCCAGATTAGGCCACTGTACTCCAGCCTGAGCGACAGAACGAGGCTCCGTCTCAAAAAAAAAAAAAAAAAAAAAAGGCAGAGCTCTGGGTGCTGGGGGGAAGGGGAACCAAAAGGGCCCTCCTTGGATTAAAAGGGGATAACCAGCGGCTGAGTGACACCTGGCTCAGGAGGACACCCTTCCCCTTGCAACGTGCCACAAGTACCCGGTTCGGGTCCAAGGTTCGCCACTTGCTCGCCAGAGCTTTTTGAGCCGGTGAGTTCATTTCCCTCAGCCAGGGTCTCCTCTCCAGTCCGAGGTTGGAGAGAGGCTAAGAGATCCTAAGCTTGGATTCCATAGGGTTCTCCCACCTTGTCCGCACCCTGGATACCCCGAGAAAGACGACGACCTGTCTGGCAAGTACCAAAAGCTGGAAGAGAAAAAGAAAGTCTAACTCGGGCCCTTCGGAAACTGATCGAGGGCACTTTTCTGGGGCACGTCGGGAAAAGTAGTCTTTTACGCTACAAAGAAATAACTTCCGGGTCAAAATATGGGAGTGGGCGTAGCCCTAAGTCTCTTCCTCCAGTGGGCGTTGAATTTCCCCGCTACCCTAAACTTACAGTTTTCTGGGTTCCGGTTGTTGACCGGCACCATTTCCCTTTTTGCTTCATTTCTGCCTGTGCGCATGCGCCAAACTCTCGTCCGCCTATTGGCGAGTTTCAGATTTCTTTCAAAAGACTACATTTCCCAGAAGGCCACGCGAGTGGGCGGGGAAATGCCCCCGGAGGAGGGGCGCGGCGTTCGCAGCGGACACTGAGCCTGTGACCTCTTTCTTTCTTTTATTTAACACAAAACTGACGTGTCCGCATTCACGGCCCCACGGCCAGGCCGGACTCGGTGCAGACAGGTCAGCTCGGCCTGGCCCTTTGGAAGGCGAGGCCAGGCTGCACTGAGAGAATGAGTGAGCCCCTCCCCTGCCCCCTCTTCTGGAGTTTGGAACTGTCAAGTTCCAGCTCCTACCCTCTTTCCCAGGTTCAAGACCCCTGCGCTGCCCACCCCGTGGGCCCGGCTGCGCTTGGAGGCCGGGCCTGGCCTGCCTGGCCCGTGAGGATCTGCACCAGCAGGTCGGTGGCCAGCATGGGCGTGGGCTCCTCGAAGCCGATGGTCAGCAGCTGCTGGTAGTCCCCAAGTGGCTGCGGGCACAAAATCCTGGGGTGGGGGGGCCAGGGATAGACAGGCCTGGACTTGAGTGCCCTCTGCCCCTCGGGAGTCTCTCCCTTTAAGTGAGATGCGTCAGCTGAAAGAGGCTTTGTTTCAGCTGCCGGTGGGAAAAACCCTCGGGGGAAACTTGTTTCCTTGTTGATCAGAAACTTAGTAATGGCTCCTAGAGGCTGAATAACTGGTCCTGACCTGTCCAATCGCATTGCTAGCTGTGTGTCCTTGGGCAGGTAACAACTTCTCTGAGCACCCTGTTTTCTTTGTTAAATGGGGCCAATAGCATAGATCTCGATGGGTTGTTACTGGGGTCTGCATGAAGTGCTTTTCAGGGCACAATAAAATACTATCATTACTAAGGGAAGCAGTGTTTGGGAAGGTGGATTATCTTTGGTGGGGTTCTGCCTCCCCATCTAGCGCTTGGTCTAGCGCCCAAGCCCACGTTGCTATTGCCCTAGCTCCTACCATGAATAAAGGTCATCCTCGGCTGGTTCTAGGGGCACCCATCGGCCGATGGACCACAGCTTCTGGATCTGCGGGCACGAATTGGCTGGACTCTGGCCTGTGTCTTCCCAAGTATCTCGATAGCACAGGAAGTAGCTGGGAGGGGAGGGAGCTGTAATTAGAAGTGATCAATTTCCTAGCTTCTTCTGTTGAAGGCTTTAATTTTGGAGGTGAAGTGGGAACTCATCAGAAGTTGCCCTGAAGTTCTCAGGTAGGAATGTGACTCTAAGGCCTTTTCTCCCTGCCAGCCTCCTTTTAAGATGAGAACTTTTATTTTGGTGGGAGGGTGGGTTTTAAGAAAATAGAGGTAGCCTTTCAAAAGCCTGTAGTTTCCTGGTTCACTTTTTTTAAAGAGACAGATTATTGCTCCCACTCAGGGTAGAGTGCAGTGGCAAAATCACAGCTCACTGTAGCCTTGAACTCCTGGGCTCAAGTGATCCTCCTGCCTGAGCCTCCCAAGTAGCTGGGACTACAGACGCCAGCCATCACGCCTGGCGAATTTGTTGTTGAGACAGGGTTTTGCCATCTTGCCCAGGTGATCTCAAACTCTTGGGCTCAAGTGATCCTCCTGCCTCAGCCTCCCAAAGTGTTAGGATTACAGGCGTGAACCATGGCACCGGGCCCTGGCTCACTTTTCACTTTGCTGGTGACAGTTTGGAGGGCCATATTGGCATTCATCATAGAAAGGGGAGGACTTTGATTTGGGTAAGAGGACTTACTAATCCACAAGGGAATCTTGTCCCCGACCAGGGGCCTCTGGGGTGGCTTCCAGGTGCCAGCGCATCTTCTTATAGAGGTAGCGGGGAAAGCGGCTGGCAGTGTAGGCGGTTGGAGCACAGTATCTGAAGATGGAGATCTCATGGGACAGGCTGATGGAGAACCTCCCGCAAAAGAAACAGGAGATGCTGGCAGGACATGAGAGAATGGAGGGGTGAAGCTGGACCTTGGACTCCTTCATCCCCCCCATCTGAATCTCCTACCATTTTACCTGAGGGGGTTTGTCTCCTCCAGGTCCACGAACCCAAAGGAAGCGTACATGAGGACCAGCTGTTCCAGGCGCAGGGTCAGCTGTTGGGAGATCTCTAACAGCTGCATACAGGATGGATACAGTGAGATCAGCTGGCCTGAGAGGAGTGGGCCTCCCCCTCCACCATCCCCGCAGGCTCGGAGCTGCGAGAAGAAAGGGGCGTGGGGTCTAAGAAACCTCCACACACCCCCTTTCGGACCAGCTCCTGCAGGGGTCCATAGATGTGGGGTACGCTTCTCGCGGCTGCCTCCAGGTACAGGAAGTAGGGCTCACACATCTGTAAGAAGGTGGGCATGGCCTTGGCCAGCTGCTCCTTCTGTACTTGGTCTCTGCTGAAGGAAGAAGGGGGCCTTTGCCTGCAATCCCTCACAATCCCTCCCCACCCCCCCGTTTTCCCCCATTCTACTCAACCCCAACCTGTATCCCTGGCTTTGACCCCTGTTAGAAAAGCCCCCAGTTTCAGGTCTTTTCTGAACATCTTTCTGGTTCACCTGCATCAAACCCATTTGGAACACTTGTTAAAAGTGCTGACACCTGAGTCTCACATCGCCACTTAGGACCCAGAGCTTCCTTAAGGGGCTGGGCGCAGTGGCTCACTCCTGCAATCCCAGAGGTTTGGGAGGCTGGGGCTGGAGGATTGCTTGAGGCCAGGAGTTCCAGACAAGCCTGGGCAACGTAGCAAGACCCCGTCTCTACACAAAAAATAATTAGCTGGGCATGGTGGCACCTATAGTCCCAGTTACTCAGGAGGTGGAAGTGGGAAGATTGCTTGAGACCAGGAGTTTGAGGCTGCAGTGAGCTATGACTGCCCCACTGCACTCCAGCTTGGGCGATAGGGCAAGACCCTGTCTCATTAGAAAACCAGCTTTATGAGAATCCCTTGAACCTGGGAGGTGGAGGTTGCAGTGAGCTGAGTTCGCCCACACTGCACTCCAGCCTTGGTGACAGAGCGAGACTCCATCTCAAAAAAACACAAAACAAAACAAAAAAAAACCCAACCTTGGCTGGGTGCGGTGGCTCACGCCTGTAATGCCAGCACTTTGGGAGGCCGAGGCAGGTGGATCACAAGGTCAGGAGTTCAAGACCAGCCTGGCCAAGATGGTGAAACCCCGAATCTACTAAAAAAAAAAAAAAATTAGCCGGGCAACATGTATTGGCGGGTGCTTATAATCCCAGCTACTCGGGAGGCTGAGCAGAGAATTGCTTCAATCCGGCCGACGGAGGTTGCAGTGAGCCGCCGACGGAGGTTGCAGTGAGCCGAGATTGCACCACTGCACTCCAGCATGGGCAACAGAGCGGGACTCCGTCTCAAAAACAAGCAAAATCCAACCCAGCCTCCTAGGAGATACCAATGGACACTGAAATTGGAGAGTCACAAGGAAACCTGGTGTGTGAATCACATGATCCTTTGGAGTCTCAAACTGATGTCCTACAGGCCAAGTTTGGCTCAGGTGGGTCTTGTTTAGTCGGCACAGGGTTCAAAATCTAAGACAGCACTTAAAAACTGAGAGAAAAAGTCCTAGAGACTTGACAACCCCAGGCCCACACTGCCAGGACAGTAATAGCAGCAGTGCCCTACCCTCAATTCTACAGTCCTCCTCACTCTCTTAAACTGGATTCTGATATGCTAGCTTCTTCCACTGCCTCCCTCTGGCTCCTAGCGCTTGTCATTTTGCAACCCTGGCATGTGTCACCCATCCTGTCGCCTCCCCTCCAAGTCTCCTTACCCATGGGGACCTGGGACCCTGTCCAGCATCACCTGTAGAGCAAGTAGCTCTGGAAATCATCCGCCTTCTTGAGTAGGTAGCGCAGCTGTTGGGTGATGGGGCTGAACAAAATGTCCAGGGATAGGCGGGGAGGTGCTGGCCCGGGCCCGGGGACCAGAGGTTCGGGGGAAGGCGTGGAGGCCGGGGCCTCAGCCAACTGCCCCTCGGCATCTTCAGGGTCCGGCTCAGGTGGGTTCCCAGGCCTGCTAGGGGGTGTCGTCCAGGAGGGGTCTCCGCAGGGCGGCGTCCCAGGTTCCAAGGCATCTGGAGGCGGTGTTTCTCCAGGGTCCAGGGGGAGCGACCCCTCGAACCACTGCTCCGTAGCCATGGTAGGGCCAGAGGCGGGGGGGTGGGGGGACCTGAGCTCTTTAAGCTTCTGCTGCTGCTCACGTTGGCCGCGGGTTCGACCCCGCCCCGGGAGCCTCCGACTGGCCCCTGCCTTGACCTCTCCACCGGAGCCGCGCCGCCGCGCCGAGGGCGGGGCGTTCGCCTCTTTTGAATTTCAACACGCGGGAGGGGCGCGCCGCTCCAGTCCGCGCGCCCGCGGCCCCCTACCCCTGCACACGCGCCGCACGCGCTCCGGGAACCTGGCGGTGGGGAGGAGGGACCTGCCTAGGGAGGTGACCTCTGGCCGTGTCCTGGGAGTGTGGCTAGGGCCGGGACCTTTATCTCTCGAGGTGGATTCCTAGAGTGGAGGGATCTCCAAACGTGTCTCCAACACCTCAACCCGGCACAGGTATATGGAATGAGGCTGCCCAGGCCCAGCCCTCACTCCCAGACCATGGTTTTTTTAAATTTTTTTTTTTAATTTAAAATTTTCTAGAGGATGGCGACTCTCTATGATTCGCCAGAATTGGTTTCAACTCTGGATCCAAGCAAGTCCTTCCCCGTCTGCCTCCTGAAGTGCCCAGCGTCGTTTTTTTTTTTTAAAAAACCAACAAAAACAAACAAAAAATCTCTAATGAGTTGAGAAAAACTGCCTTAGAAACTTAGTAGGAGCTTGTGTTATGTATAGCCCTGACGCTACTAACTAAGCAATAAATAATAAAATTTCGAAAAAATCCTTCCAGGCTGGTCTTGTGCTATTGTCTGGTATTCTCGGAGGGCTGAAGACGGGGAGAACTGCTTTGAAGCCAGGAATTCAAGACCAAGCTAAGCCAACATAGCAGGACCTGTCCTAAGTACAAAAAAATAAAATGTTCGTTGGGTTGTTGTCTGAGGCATGAGAATCACTTGTATCCCAAGAGTTCGACGGCTTCACCAGTTTATGATTGCGCCCACTGCACTCTAGGCTGGGTGACAGAGCAAGACTCTGTCTTGAACAAACAACAAATCTTCACTTGGAAATCTTCTCCTCCTCAT